TTCTTAGCAGGGGTGGATGCTGCGGAAGGAACGTTCGGTACCTTAGGTTTCGGTTTCGACCTCTCGGTATCGGAGAAGGACTTAACCTTCGATGTCGACGGCTTCGATGTCGATGCGTCAGCAGCGGAAGACATGATGACGGAGGAAATAACCGGCGGGTCAGCCATCGGTTGAAGCGCCTTCTCCAAAAGAAAAACTCTTAAACGTGCCGCTCTGTTTTTCCGAGTTTGGTTGGAAAACTGCGCACAATGTTCACAAGAGTCTGGCTTGTGGGTCTCCCCAAGACAGAAAATACAGTACTTATGGCCGTCTGGAGGAGCCAATTTACTTCCACAAGTACGACAACGGTTGAAAAATCCCACTTCTTTGACTTTTTTGCCTTCTTCTTCTCCATAGACTAAGGAGAAAAAGCCAGCGACAAAGGGGGGGCCCAGCGGCCCGAAGGCCTGAGGTAATTTTACCTCAGACGAAAAACAAAAAGTCTCCTTTTAAAAAAAAAAAAACAACACAGAAAAGAAAGAGAAACTGAACAAAAACTGAGGCGAAAAACGAGAGCTAATCACTAAAAAGTGATCCAAAAGCAGCGATCCGGCCAAACCTCTCGAAGAAAGGTCTGCTCAGCGCGGCGGAAAGAACTGGCGGGATGTCCGTGCCTGCCCTTCTGGGCATGCTCACTGGGGCTCCTGAGCATGCTCAGTTGGGCCAGGCACAAAAATCCTTTTAAGAGAGCTTGCTAGGCACCGGCAGATCCAGCGCAGGCGCACTAGATCCCATTGGTGTGAAGCACAGAGACCACGAAGAAGATCAGAATGGTTTCCAATTGGCAAAGGTGTCAGACTTCCTATCTGTTCAACCTGTATACGGTACATATCATAAGGAAAGCTGAATTAGATTTAAATGAAAATTTGTGGAAGGAACATTAACACATTACATGCAGAAAACAGTGAAGACCTGAAACAACTACTGATGGTTAAAGAGAAGTGCCAAAGCACGGCTGCAGCTGAACAGCAAGAAGACAAAAGTAATGACTACTGAGGAATTACAGTTTTAAGGTTCTTGCCTCAATGATCAACCAAAAAGGGAGACTGCAACCAAGAAATCAGGAGACTGAGACTTGGAAGGATAACCATGAAGGAACTAGAGAAGATTTTTGAGTATAAAAAGTGGGTTCTACATCAAATTAAGCATGAATTCTCCCTAGAAACTGAAATGACTGAGACTATTGTATTTCGGTCACATCAATGGAAGACCAGACTCCTTGGAAATGGCAGTAATGCTAGGAAAAGCAGCAAGAAAACAAGACCAACGTGAGATGGATTGACTCCATAAAGGAAGCTACAGCCTTCAGTTTGCAAGACCGGAGAATGGCTGTTAACAAGAGGACGTTTTGGAACTCATTAATTCATAGGAGTAGAAAAGAGCAAGAGTCCAGTACCACCTTAGAGACTAACAGAATATGTGGCAGGTAGGAGCTTTCATGAGTCACTGCTCACTTCTTCAGATACACATACTTCAGATACTGAAGAAGTGAGCAGTGACTCATGAAAGCTCCTACCTGCCACATATTCTGTTAGTCTCTAAGGTGGTACTGGACTCTTGCTCTTTTCTACTGCTACGGACAGACTAACATGGCTACCCATCTTGATTAATTCATAGGGTCGCTGTTAAGTTGGAAGCAACTTGATGGCACTTAACTCACACACACATGTCTTGCTATGGTTCAAGGTCAGCTGCCAACTTACAAGCCTGGGAAAGATTTTTTTTTTTTTTGGCTTGTAACTAGAGTGATCAAGGAAAACAGGATTTGTTTTGTTTTCACTAAAGTGACTGTTTTCCCCAATTGTTGGATGCTGTTCTGGATTCACTGTATCCATTTCTTACTCAATGGTTCCATTTTGTTTATACACAGTGTTACCATGGGTGCTTTGGCACAGTAAGGACTTTATGTGGAGTAAGTGGGTGATGAGCCTGCTTTAAGAGGTCTTGAGCTTTCAGGCATCTAAACCAGTTCACCTGCGCAGGGGATGAGGGCATCACTTATGGACATGCATTGTCTGCTGCCACACATTCCTCTTCTCAGTAAACAGCCTGGGGCTTCACAATATCTTCCTCTAAGATGGGTTGCCACTGAAATTTTTTACAGAGAAGGGGGAACCTCAGCATATAGTATGCCATAAGGAAGAAAACGCTAAGGAAAAACCATCAGCAATATGAATGTATTCCGTACTGAAATAAAAACAAATTTATTAAGCAATAGTCTGTTGCATATTCCTATTTTACACTAATGCGTTAATTCTATATTGAGGTTGGTGGTCACAACCCAACAGTTACTGTTTATAATGTTAGTATGCTACCAGGTACTACTTCACAACAATAGCAGCTCTTGAACATGATACAATACCCAGGGGTCATTTCCTTTTTTTTTTTTTGTAAATAACTTTTTATTAAATTTTCAATTTAACTCATACATTGAACATTAAACATTACATAAACTATTTCAAGAATATCCTTCTTTACATTTTAACATCAATAAAATGCAAAGTCTTTATATTTATCAGGTAATCTAAAAGAGTTTGGTTGACATGCTGTTATATATTCAAAAAAAAATACCATTTATTCATAAAATTATTTTGGTTTTTTGGATTATCTGTTGCTATCAGCTGCATTGCTATTTTGTCTGACACTATTGTATCCCATATTTTGGTTCTCCATTTAGATAAGGTTGGTAGTTTGTTTTCCTTCCACATTTGTGCTAACAAAGTCTTAGCTGCCATCAGAAACATTGTGATAACCTCTTCTTTTTGTTTAGAGTTTATCAGATTTGGCCAGTAATGTAGTAGAAGGGATTCCGGAGTGTTTGGTATGACTATACCTGTTATGGTGTTTATTTCCTGTATGATTTTTTCCCAGTATTCTTGTACTTTAGGGCATGCCCACCAACAATGTTTTAGATCTCCCACTTCCCCACAACCCTTCCAACAGTGTGGTGTTGGTTTGAATTTGCTTTTAAATAAGCGGCTAGGAGTAATATACCACCGTGTGTACAATTTAAAGTGTTGAAGTTTCATATTTAGGTGTCTGCTCGAGAACACTCCTGAGTTTGTTATATGATTCCATTGCATGTCAGTAAAATTGATTCCACAGTCCTTTTGCCAGGCTTTTCTAATTGACGATGGTCGAGACCAAACCTTGTTGTTCACCAGGCTGTATATTTTTGCTAGCAGTTTTTTTGTGTCTTGCCCTTGGTGTTTTAAAAATAATTCAAAAGGTGTCAGATCTCTGTACAGATCAGATGTTCTATCTAATTCCGATAGTGCATGCTGGAGTTGAGAGTATGCCAGCCAATCTAGAGGAATACCGCTCTTTAGTTCAATTTGTTGTTGTGTGCCTATTTTTTTATTAAAAACAAAATCTATTATCCTGTATATACTTTTATTTTTAAATCCTAACATAAATTTTTCCCCCATACCTGGGGTAAACCAAGGTTGATCGAAGATAGAATTCAAAGGTGAAACTCCAGGTGCTAATATATGTATATTTTTGTTCCATAATTGTAACGTAAGTTTTAAGAATTGATTCTTTATATTTGAAACACCTTGTTGTTTTGGTGCGTTCCAAATCACATCGCAAAGTTGTCTATGTTCTAGTTCTACTTGTTCTATATAAACCCATTTTTTGGAACAATTGGTCAGTGAGTAATAATGTATATTCCTAAGTTGTGATGCAATATAATATTTTTCAAAATCTGGCAGTCCTAGTCCTCCTAATTTTTGTGGTTTGATCAATGTATTATAATTTATTCTAGTTTTCTTTCCATTCCATATAAATTTGGATAACATTTGTTTCCAACACACAAATACTTTGTTTGGTATTGTAATAGGTAAAGTTTGGAAGAAATATAAGAATTTTGGGAATAAAATTGTTTTGATTAGATTTATTTTTTCTAACAGATTTAAGTTCTGCTTGTTCCAGTCATTAAGTTGTAACTGTGTTTTTTCAATAAGTGGTGTATAATTGGCTTTATATAGATCCGCCAAATTTAAGGGAATGTTTATACCCAAGTGCCTCCATTCTTTAGTCACCCAATTGAATTTGAAATTCCTTTGTATTACTGCCTTCTGAGTTGATGAGGTTTGAATAGAATATATCTCTGATTTTTTATAGTTAACTGCAAAACCAGAGATTTTTCCAAACTTTTGTAAATGAGTTACCAAATTGTGCAATGATGTTTCAGGTTGTGATAAATAAAAGATGGCGTCATCAGCGTACAAGCTCAGTTTGACATGCTCATCTTTTATCCGTATTCCATGTATGTTTATATCTGTTCTGATCGCATGGGCCAATGGCTCTATAGACAAGGCAAATAATAGGGGCGACAAGGGGCAGCCTTGTCTAGTGCCCCGTGTTAAATAGATGTCATCAGATCTAAAATGATTAACACACACTTGCGCCGACGTTGAGTGATAAAAAGCTCCAATTACTCTTTGAAATACTGGGCCAAAATTCATAACGTTTAGAAGTTCCAGCAAATATTTGGGTTCCACCCTATCGAAGGCCTTTTCAGCGTCTGTGGATAATATGATTGAATGTATTTTATTCGATTTACAGTGATTTATGATGTTTAGTGTTTTACGTATACTATCCGCAATTGTACGGCCTGGCATAAAGCCACTTTGGTCGTCATGAACATAGTTAGTGATTATTTTGTTTAGTCGTAGGGTTAGGATAGTCGATAGTATTTTAAAGTCATGATTTAGGATTGATATTGGCCTATATGAGGCTGTCATCAATTTATCCTTACCAGGTTTGGGTAATACTATTATGCGCGCTTCTGACCAACTTTTTGGCATTACGCCTGTTTGTAAGATATGACTGAGGGTGGGTTCTAGTTGTTCCATCAATGTGGAAGAATTTTTTTTGTAAAATTCAATTGGGATTCCGTCTCTCCCTGGTGTTTTGTTGTTTTTCAATTTTGATAACGCCTGTTTTATTTCCATAGGGGTGTAGCAACCAGGGGTCCTCTCCAGAACCCAAGGCTGCTAAAGCAAGGGACACAAAGCACAGGAATTTACTAAACAGTATCTGCCACCAAGTCACTTTTCAGTTCCCAACTAGACTGGAGCAAAGTGACTAGAAAACTTCAGTCTTAACACAGGAACACAGTTCA